TCGGGAGATCGAAACGGTAACGCCTGTGTGAACAAAATAGGTGCGATCGTTGAACATCATTTGAGAGTGCTGAGGTAAAATTTGATTTCATAAGTATGCCACTATTGAGCTTGAGTGTGAATTTCTCTAATCGAATGTTAAACGCAGTTTCATAGCACGTATTGAAAGTATAATGAGCCCGATATGCTTCATGGAAATGTTCAAGAGCTTGCTGGGTATGTGCATGCCTAGCTATTACATCCTTGCGGTATGCTAAATGTATTTGGAATTGTGTTTGGTTCTACTAGGAACAGAAAGGAAATTTTCATGAAACGTAACACGAATTTACGAATATCGTTTAGTACTGACTAATTATTAAATGTAATTAAATATAATTATAATAAATATAATTGATAATATTAATAATTAATTATAATAATTATAAATAAATATAATTAAATTAATAATTAAAACGTTTAATAAGTTTGCGTGTCTGAAAATTTTCTTTCACTCTGTGGACCTATGAAATAATAATTTCGCTTCTCTATTGAAAATAATAATACCTGATGAACAAGTTGATGAATTATACTTAGATACAATAAATATACGTTTCTAGAAGTCGAACAAGAAAATCGTAACGTTAATCGAAATAATAATAAGTGATAAATCTAATTGAAAATAATTATTTTCTTCTCAGGAATGGTCAGAATTTAATATTCGGAACTTAACTGTATATTCCATGGTATTAATATCTATGACTTGCAACATTTTTTTAATATGCTATATCGGCGAGGTACTAACTGAAAAGGTAATTATAGCAACATAGTCTCGTAATCTAAACTAATTGACTTCAATCTAAACTAATTGACAGTGTAAGAAAATTGGAGATGTGGTTTATATGACAGAATGGTATCATCTACCCGACAAGGATATCCTTAGCCTCATTATGATCATTTCACGATCTGGCGTGGAAGTTAAGATGACTGCGGGAAAGATAATTGACATGTCGTTATTCACATTCGCTACTGTATGTCTTCATCATTTTTTTAATTCTGAAGAAAGATTCAATCGTTCACGGATATTCATAGAGTCACTTGTAATTTCAGATAGTAAAAACAGTTTTTGCCTATTTAAATATGCTGTGTCAGACAACACTGTAAACTACACATGTATTCAGTCTATGCTTAGATAATAAAATCTAAATCTTTTTCTTTTTAAGCATATTTATGTAAATGTCAAGATGAAAGAACTATTCCTTCCAGTGCTTGTGTAGGTGTACGACCTGCAGGAAAAAATACGTACATGTTTTGTTGAAATCAGAGTTGACAAAATTATAATGAGACCTAATCAAGGCAACTCATAATTCTAGCATAAATCGTGGGAAATTAGTATTGTCAAAAATTCATGTGAAATAATTATTTCAGGCTAATTTACTTTCGTAAATTATTAATAATAATTTTTAGGCTACACATCTTTCGCGTATTCAAATGATATCAAACATCTTTCTATTTATTCACAAAAAAATTTCTAAAAATTTTGCTAGATTATATGGTATACCTTGCTACGGACTAAATCAACAGGTGGCTGTAAGGAGACTTCAACTGCACAAGCAGCAAGACTCTTCAGTTTAACCGGACAATGTTGATGAAATTACCAATTCGAAATGATCAGTGTAAGTAACACACATTTGTATATTTACCAATTATGTTACAGCATATTTCTCCGAAGTCGTCTCTGAAGATGTATTCCGTAAAGTCGTTGATAATTAATTTCAATCTATTCCATCGAATCGTTGACTGAAGATTCTTCTGCAAAATAACATCACATCTAGTTTAAACAATAACCCATCAAGCTCAGAATATACAAAATGGCTATTTGTTAAGAATTATTCCAAATTTTACACTTTACACTTCATCTAAAACGTCGTTTCCACAAACTTACAGTCGTTTCACTGCTTCATTCCCCCAACATTGTACCATTCGCAACTACTCATTAAAATGTACTCAGTCAGCACAACAAAAACTTGCAACAACTGTCTAGACTAATCGATCGGCGCGAATGCTTCAGCAAAGTATGCGCGTACGTTGGCTAACGCGACGTACTGCTCCCTCGATTCAGTTCGACGCGTGACTTTGTTAAGGAAACACGATGGCAGACGATCTGAGGACCATCGAGAAGAAATTTGATAACCTCAGCGAGTACAGTATACAGGTGAACCAATGGATCTTGAAGCCAATAGGCGCCTGGCCTATTACAAATTCTACCACCACTGTTGAGAAAATCACGTCACAGATATTAACTGTCGTTTGTTGGTGCTTTTCGCTGTTCACTATCGTTCCTGGCGTTTTGAACATCATGCTGGAGAAAGAAGACATCTACCTGAAACTAAAGACACTTGGTCCTCTCAGTCACTGGTGTGTTGGAGGATTCAATTACGCTGTATTGTTGCTACGTAAAGACGACATACATTACTGTATAGAGCATATAAGAACCGACTGGAAGATGATCACGAGATCGGAGGATCGACAAGTGATGCTGAAGAACGCGAAGCTCGGTCGCTACGTAGCCGGTTTCTGCGCGGCTTTTATGCAAGGCGGTGTTTTATGCACGTGTCTTGTATTAGGAGCATTCAAACGAACCATCGAAAACGGAAACGAGACCATCACCGTGTACACTTTGCCCTGTCCAGCGTATAAATTTCCAGTTCAGACGAATCCGACGCACGACATCATTCTTAGCACGCAATTCTTGTCAGCGTTTATCGCGAGTTCAAGTGCAGCTGGGGCATTCAGTCTTGCAACAGTTTTCGCGAGCCACGCTCTTGGCCAGTTGAACATAATGATAGCGTGGATCAACGAGTTCGTAAACCGACAGTCGGGAGATGAAAACAATAACACATGTGTTAATAAAATAGGTATAATCGTTGAACATCATTTGAGAGTACTGAGGTAAGCTTTCAGCTTTATACGTATTTATCTTTTGACAATTCAGTAGATTTGGCTAATGTGATGTTAAATGCAGTTTCATAGCACGTATTGAACGTATAATGAGCCCGATATGCTTCATGGAAATGTTTAAATGTATGCTGGGTATGTGCATGCCTAGCTATTACATCCTTGCGGTATGCTAAACGTATTAACAAGGTTTATGATAATTTTATGGCTCTACTAGCGTGAAACCAAATTTTCACGGTGGAATGAAAAATACAGTTACGAATATTTGTACTGTTTAATTCTTAAACACGTTTATTCGGTATAAACTTCTTCACGTGTTTGAAAATTTTCTTTCGGTCCGTAGACCCATAATATAATAACTTTCGTGTGCTTCTGTTGGAAATAACATCTGGTCTCAAGAATATTTAAGTGTAATAAATATACGTTTTCCAAATTCAGCAAAACAATAGAACTGTAAGATTAGTCTAATTGTAAGTGATATACATGATAAATCTAATTGGAAATATTTATTTTTTCCCCAGGAATGGTCTGAACATAATATCCAGAACTTAACTGCATATGTCATGATTATAATATCTATGACTTGCAACATTTTTTTAGTCTGTTATATCGGTGAAGTATTATCGGAAAAGGTAATTGGCATATGGCGACATAATCAAATATTTAACTAAGTGATTTGATATATTGATAGTGTAAAAGAATTGGAGACATGGTTTATATGACAAACTGGTATCATCTGCCTGACAAAGATATTCTAAGCTTGATTATGATCATTTCACGGTCCAGCGTGGAGATAAAGATGACTGCCGGAAAGATAATTGACATGTCAGTGTTCACATTCGCCAATGTATGTCCCTATAATTCTCCGAATTCTGATAAAATGTTTCATTCGAAAAAATATTCACTTGTACCGTTTTTAATTTCAGACAGTAAAAACTGTTTTTGCATATTTAAATATGCTCCGTCAGACGACGATGATGTAAGGCTGCACATGTATTCAGAGCGTATACTTAGATAACGAGTGTTGACAAAATTACAATGAAATTTAATCATGCTTTAAACAACGTATTGTACAACAACCATTACGAAAAATTAATATTGTCGGAAGATCGTGCGAAATAATAATTACCTCAGACTAATTTATTTTTCGGAGTAATTGCTAATTTTTAGATTATACATTCCTCGTGCATTTAAATAATATCAAGTGTCTTTGTGTTCATATTTACTACATTATACTCATTTAATAAGATATACCTTACCATAAAATGAATCAGTGGGTGGTTTTATGGAGATTCAGTCTGCACAGACAGCAAGTTTTTTTCAATCTAACTTATCAGACAATGCTGACGAAATTAGCAATTTCAAACCAGCAGTGTAAGTTGTACACAATTTTATATCAATCGGTTACAACATATTTCTCTAGAGGCATCTTTGGAAATATGTATTTTGTAAAAAACATCGCTGATATCAACCTAGTCTATTGAATCGTTAACCGAAGATAGACTCCTCTGCAACATACGTTACACTTAGTTTAAACAGTAACATGTCAGCGAAAATGATAGACTCCTCTGCAACATACGTTACACTTAGTTTAAACAGTAACATGTCAGCGAAAATGCAAAAATTATTTGCTAAGGATTATTCCAAATTTTACACTTTACACTTTTCATCTAAAATGTCGCTTGTACAAGCGTACAATCACTTCTCTGCTTCGTTCCCCCATCATCGTTGCATTCAAGTTGCACCGTACACAGGTACACCATGGAAAAACATTGTAGCAAGCGACTAGACAAATCGATCGACGCAGAACCTTCAATAAAGTATGCGCGTACGTTAGGCTACGTGAATATTTTCCTTTCGACTCAGTTGCATGCGTGACTTCGCTGAGAC